CTGGCATCTCCAGTGCTCCTCTGAAGGCCAGCCAGCACCTCCTCGATGGAGCCAGCCAAGTTCGAAACCTTTCTTTAAAACACCCAGCTTTTGATCAAAAACCCAGTCTAAATGTCACAAAAACAAGAAAAAAACGCCCTCAGGGTTTCACTGTTTGATGTTTCATGAAGCGATTTCATGATTATAAGATGAATAATACCAGTGCTCATTATCTGGTCTGTTTCATAGTTACAAAGTTTGGAAACTAATGAATAATCTTGAAACTTGAGGAAAATGAACCATTAGAAATAAACCAGCTTCCTTTTATTTTTTGCTACTGGTGGTAATGTTACAGCTTTTGTACATGATTCTACTTGTTTTGATATATTGGTACAATGTTAGCGTGGTTTAAGATTAAGGCATAGCATCCATAATCAGAAAGAATATTCTGCTATAAAGCAGGTTTAAATTCTTCAGCCTCCCTGAAAAATCAACCCAGGACTATTTTAAGCAGAGTCACTCTTTCAGACATCTTTTCAGACAAACCGGCAGGAGTGCTGCTATAGAATTTTAAATTTCAGTGCAAATATGCAGTGCATCATTTTGAATTGGCTTCAATTTAGCAAATCCAGTTGACATTAATATGTTGTGTCACAAATCCTTTCTGACAAAGGGTTTTGCTGACAACCAATCTCAATAAAGAGTTCACTTTTGCAAGTGTAATAATACAGATCTTTGCTTTATGGTGTTGAGGTCAAGTTACAGTAGAAAATTGCACTTGTGCTCACTTATAACTATAAGAGACAGACATCTCGCCCAATTTTCATCACTCACCCTCCTAGGACTCTGGAATAACCACAGTCACCCCTCCGTCTCCTCTTTTCAGCATCCAATCCACCACGCCAATGGCCCCAGCCTACTTAGTTGTTTCATCTTCCGCATGCTTCAACCTTCCTGTTTGCTGTCTACAAAGAAACTCCTCCAGTTGCAAATACTCACTCCTCCACCTGGGAGAATGTTTGAACTGGGCTCAGGTCCCATGTCCTCAATCCTTGACCCTAGCCCATGCAGTCCTGGCTGATATCCCTATGAGTCCCCTACCCATCCTAACCCCTCCCCCTCCGCTATCGTCAAATACTATTGTGGTATTTGACTTTCCCCATCCTACTTCCCAGAAAGGAGATAGCAGTGGCCTCTCAAGCACACCAGACTCCCGTCTGTCCTTAGAACCAGCCCTTTAGCGGTTATTGTTTCTTCTCTTGAGGGTTTCTGCAGGGAACATGTCCTTGCTCATTTAGTTCAGCAAACGGACCGACTCAGGGCCCTCACATTCAGTTCACTGAACTCAATTCCACTATAAGGCTCATGTGTGTCTCATGAGTATTCTTATTACTCTCTATGCTTCTGTCAGGCAGCCATTCTACCTGCTTACTGGCAACCATCAGCAAGTGGAGACTCACTGCCAGTCCCTATTCAACTTCCATGTCAGTGCAGATGATCTCACTCTACTCTTTCCGGGTCGGCACAGTGTCTTCTACAGCTCACCACAGAATTCCAGTCTCCACCAATCCATGCTGTCTTGTTTTCTGCAGCCACCTGTGTGCTGCCTTGTGTTCCGTAGCCTGCATTACACGTGTTGCTCATTCACTTCATTCTCTATCAACGATGCTCTGAAACATCGCATATTCGAACCGATGTGATCAAACAAAGTTCACACGCCATTACAGAAGAAGTCTGCATCTGTGTTTTGGCATTCCTGTATTTTGCAGGGTTTTCAGCCTTGGACTTGTGGCTACGTCTGTCACTTCCTTGTATCAGGCGAGTTAATGCCAATTGTTAGAATATCAAGTGTGTTACGCCTTTACGTTTCATGGTCTCGTTGCACTAATTTGATTTTGCTCATTACTTTCAGAAGAAAAATAAGATACTTAGCACTCAAACTTCAAGAGCGATGCTGGGAATGAAAGGATGAGGATGAAATGTTCAATGTTTTAACATTCCCCACGGCTGTGATTTAAAATAACAATTATATTTAATCAAATTTCTTTTGCAAGAAAAGAACCAATCAGTCTAATTTCCTCTTATCAGTAGTGCCTTTGCAGACTGAAATAAAAAAAAACTCGGATCCACCTACTAATTCCAAACTTCAAACCTCTTGCCAAGTGCTGAGTCACACCCAGCCTCAGGTAAGCAGCTACTCACTATGAAGCACTGGATTTATAGTTCTTAATTAGCAGATCCTTTTTTTTAGACTGAGTTGACTGAACATCTATAATCCACAATAAAACAAACTTATTACTAAATTCACAAAGATATCAGGATGAATCATTTCATTGAGCAGTGTATGTTAGTGTGTGTGATCTTACTAGCATCAGTGTTAGTAAAGACCCTTTGAAACTGCTAACAATCTTTCTGATGTAATTTACTTTGACTGTACCATCCATGGAAAATCTACCATTTTGTTGCTTCAGAGTAATAACATCACTTCCATGATTTGATTAGCCATGATCTCTAGAGCCTGTCTGTGTATTACCTAAGCCCCAGCCCAACTGGAGATAACATTGGTACCTTTTTTTGACCTCGCATGACTGTGTTTGAATTAAACTTCTCCTGTGAAACACTCACTGGCTTCCAGCTGCTTCTTTGATGAAGGAATGTAATATCAGCTGTTCTTATTAAATGTGCTCTTCTCACACCTCTAAATCTTTAGGACAAAAGCAGCTACAGTGTTCTGTATCTGATATACAGTACAGTACATTCCAGTTGAAATGCAAATGTCTCAAATGCACCTTACCAAATTCAGAAACTATTCTAATGGAAATTAGATTACACATTCTCAATAGAGCAGAACGTCTTTATAGTGTTATAGGTGGCTTATGAAATGTTCATTTTTGAAGTCGAAAGCATATTAAATAGCTTTTTTATTAAAAAAAAACAAACAAATGTTATCCAAACATTTATCTCCCTTGCTGCTTTCAATCTCCAAATAGTTCCTCATTTGCAGTAGAAACTGCACCTCATAAAGCACAGGCAGTATCCCAATTACTTATTATGAGAGATTTAATTGATTGTAGTTTCATGTTCATCCATCCATTTTAAAAACTAATATTAAGGAACCAAAAGCATTTGCAATTGAATATTGAACTTAGCGAATTAATTTTGCATGTGTTTTTTTAGGGACACATACAGTACAGTAAATGCCAGCCAATAGACAAACAGCTACTGTATATTGTGATTGTCATATCTATCTCCATATTATTAAACTTTTTGTTTAGAATTTGATACAAATTTACCATCATTTAGATTAAGCTGTTTTACTTTTAGATTGCTTTGAAAAAATATAATTATTTTACATCTACAATTGTGTGTCTAGTTGATGACTTCATTAACAATAGTTATCCAACTCTGCTAATAGATTGGTAATTAATGATGATTTTCTTGAATCTTTAATTAAATGCTAATTTGAATACACACAATGATATACAATAACAATCATTGTGCAAGATGCTTGCATTCACTGACTAAGGTAATTTTACTGAAATGCTGGCTGTTTTCATAAATGTGACTAATGAGGCTTTCAAAACTTAATGTGAATGAGCTTCTTCTACCCTAATAATGCTATGTGTTTATGCCATTGTGTTATGGTAAATTTTAGTTTTGTAGTTTAATGTTCATATTTAGAAGATGGCTGACAATGTGGTGGGCTTCATGCATCTGACAGAACTAAGCATCATGTAGCCACAGAGCTCTTGTAAAGGGAAACTACCCTAAAACAAATTCAAAACTTGTACACAAATTGTGATGAAGTAATGATCTCCTGGCAATCTGGTCAATTATCTTGTTTCTCTAAAAAAACTTGTAGTCTAGACTTGTAGATTTCTTAGTAGTGTATTTGTACTGTACATTTACGGTATGACTCATACTGAAGGTGGTGGGTTGTGGGTTTAGGTCCCTGCTGTAGATACACATTATCCAATGATGGGATGATAATATGCTTTTTTAAAGTTTGTTAATTCCTACATGCTACATGGATGTGTGTAATCCTCACTTACCTGATGGTACAAAGGAGAATAAGTATAGCTCCCAAATACATTTTTTATTGGACTGGAGAGGTCAGGATAAAGGTTTGGGATGTTGTTTTGTCAATTTGCAAATTGTCTCTACAGGAAAAATATTTCAATTACACTATTTAAAGTAAATTATTGTGGGCTACATATGGATTAAATAGTTATTAATAAGATCCCTGAACTGGATCCCTTTTGATCACAGACTTTACTGAATGTAAGGCATGTGAGGTTTTTCTTCTGTGGCAAAGCACTGGCATTTATTAGCAAAACAATAATGCAACTGATCTATAAAAACACATCATTAAACATTCAAAACAAAGCATTTCAGATGTCTACATTCTACAGACCCAGAAACCCAAAATGTAACCCCGTAACCTGAAATGCTTTGAAATACCTTGAGAGACCAACTAGAGAAACACCTTGCATCCTAAATAAAATAATACATCCCAAGACTAAATCTCCCTTTCTACAATATGGATGCCAAAATGTGAATAGGCATCCATTTCCCTATTCTAAAGATGTATCACCAACTAGGAGAGAATGTCTTTAGCCTAAGGATTACACAATATGGATAATCAGAATTATTCTAAAATAATTAGGACAGCAAGCTCTCTATAACAAAGTGCAAATTAACTAGCCAGAATATAGTAATCAAGACCTGCCTTTAAACTCGCCTACTGCTAAGTAAACACTTCAAATTGTTTTTAAATTTTATGTCTGCCCCACACCAACTGTAGCAGAATCTGTTAGATAAATTTATTTCACACCAAAAAAGACCTGCACACTCCGTAAATTGATCAACATGTGAACAAATGTGTCTCTCTTTCCCCAAACACCTCACTCTTTTTTATGTTGTTTCTGAAAAATACAGTGTAACAGTTTACCATAACAGAACCCTGAAATGTAAGTGAAAATGGTTGCTAGGTAGATAACCAGATGCTGTTGTATTAACAGGAATGGACTCCACTGTCATGAAGGGGAACCACTGTTCAGACACAGGAAAGCCCTGCAACCCTTGCTTGGATGCAGCCAAGGCCTGCAACTTGAATGACACCTGCAAGAAACTGCGCTCCATGTACATCTCTGTCTGCACCAGGGTCAGTCCCTTTCAGTCCCCAGAGCCCTGCAACCGCAAGAAGTGCCACAAAGCCCTCCGTCAGTTCTTCGATCGCGTCCAGACTGAGTATAGCTATCGCCTGCTGTTCTGCTCCTGCCGAGACACAGCCTGCGCTGAGAGGAGAAGGCAGACCATTGTCCCTTCCTGTGCCTACGAGGACAAAGTTAAACCCAACTGCCTGGAACTGAGGACGACTTGTAGAAATGACCCCCTATGCAGGTACAGGGACTATCGGGCTGGGGATTTGGTGGGGGGAAGAAGATAAGGATCTGTTTAGATTAAATAATCTGCCTCTTAAATATGCAACATTTAGATGGGAGATTCTTTCCTCAGAAGATGTTTAAGGAGTTGAAGTCACTGGCTACATTAAAGTCTGATCCACCTCAAACATGTATTTCATATACAGTAGCATACAGTAGGTAGTGATGCTGATGTGGGTCACTCACCTCTTAAAAGCAATTACCATCCAGGAACTGTAATGTTGCTCTTAATCGCTAATAATTTCAGGATGTTTTTTTTCCTTTGCTGTTGATTGGAGGCAATTTTTCTCGCATTTCAATAAAGAAAAGGACAGTTCTCCACAACAGCTAGACTTACTGACCTCTTTGCTTTTCAGGACATTGAAGTGCTGTTTTAGATGTCCTACCACTACACAAACTTATAAATATTCAAAGAATTGAATTGTGTACACTTTCTTTACTTTCATTCCATCACAGACTTTGCTGCAGTTCAGTCTCAAACAACGTAGTGTCTGTTGATAATGAACATTTCTGAAAGAGTTCAATCTGTGAGTTCAATCAGTCTTCTTTGTTTTTATTTTTTGTTTTGTTTTTACTTTGCTGCTCCCAAAAGAGACATTGTAAATTGAGCGATACATACACAATACATTGAGCGTGTTGTTTCTGTAGCCAGCAGGAACAGCTAATAATCTGGAACTTGCACAACCGTCTTGGCAAACTTTACCAGCAGTAGACAGGCGTACAGTATACACAAGTTTGCATGTGCATGGAAGCTCAGTTCTAATGACATGGAAAATTGGTCCAGTTAGATTTTACCTAAGATGCTCAAACATTTTTCATGCAGATTTATTAGGAAATTAAAAGGGAACAATTTGCAGATCAGACAGAGCCCTCTTGTGAACCTTTAGGCCATGTGCCATGTTTGCCTTTGTCTTAATTACAACTTGATGATGCCAGAATGGGAGACCTCTTAGGAAAAACAGGCAGTTGCACTCATGTTGGTGAACCAGTAGGTGGTACACTTCCTTCTGGACCACGGTTCCCAAACTAATGTGGGATAAAGTGATGACGTGTTAAACTGAGGTCCTTGGATGTACAGTATTCTTGGTATCCTGGAGTCATTTGTCTATGAGCTTTCACAGTCTGACCGCAATGTTCCTCTTTAATTCAACCAGTACATTTCTTGCTTCCCCATCTGATCTGTTGGGCAGTGGGGCGGCTGGTGCAGAAATACTGCCGTGTGTGGCCCAGGTGGGGGGGCTGCACTTAATTGATGGATGAATAGAGTCACCTGCTACAAGTGAAGTGCTGTGGGATCCTTTGGGAGGAAACATGCTATAAAATGTAAGGAAATCATTCATTGCCAAATAGTTTGTTTAATTCATGATACAAACCAGGTGTAATCCATGGTTTATTTTGGTTTTCATAAAACAAGAAGGAGCCCTTATGGAATTCATCACTGCACCTGAGATTCAAATGAAAAGGATGCAGCCCAAGTGTCCATGTATATTAGGAAACCCACACTGAACCTTTCTTAATAGGAAAGTCCATATCAGTGTTACAGTTTAAATAAACCAATGTTTTATTTCTAATCTAGTTCGCATACTTAATAAGTTCAATGGATACCAGTCCATACCAGTGTTATGGCATATTTTGAAAGGAATCCATTCTTATGTGTTCAGATACCTGGAAAATTACTAACACAATTTGTGCTTTACCAGAGGCCTTTTCTTTCTGACAGAGGTTTGTTACACATTCCTGAATCAGTGCCAAGAAAATTAATTGCAGACACCCAGAGAAACCTTGCAATTAAGAAGAAAAAGTGAAGAGTGGCTGCTTAATTGAGGGGACAGCGTTCAATTAGGCTGAACTGAAACATTAGTAGATGACTTTTATTGCGTTTCAATTTAATTTAATGGGTGCACCCTTCAATTAACACCTGGTTCTCCTTAAGTTCCATCTTGCCAAGAGAACCCAGGGCCTCATTTCTTGGGATGTTTACAAATGGACCTGTAAAACTAAGCATTTACAGTAAAAAGAATGACCTGTGAAAGATACTTGTTTTAAGAGCTGCATAGTCAAATCTGTATGCTTACAGACAGGGAGGAAAAATAATAATCACGTTCAAGGGACATTTTTGTAATCCTAAAATCATTTGCACTTCTTGATTGATTAAATCATTAATTGAATAACCATATGATGCAGCTGTCCAGCTGTGTCATAAGTGGCCCAATTCAGAGGCCCACTCACATTGTCTTTTTGAACACTTCTGTGAAATTAGTCTGCTTTTTTGAGTGAGCTGCTGAACATTGTTTTGGTTTTATACAACAAAGATTCAGTTAGCCGTTAACTCTCCCATAGTTCATGTGCTGATCATATCTACAGTATTTTGTTTAGCTGTTAAATGTTTGGCATGTTTAGGACTTCTGCTTGAAACTTCGGTCGGCTTCAGTTTTCGATCGGTCACATTTGATTCTGTGCAGTAATAGCTGGACAGAGACCTCTGGCTCTTCTACTTCAGGAAGGGGCTTGCTTTACTTTGCTGTCTCCTGCCTGCTGCTGCCAGTGCTTGACTCACAGGCAAACCTGAAGTTCCAGACAGAGCAGCAGCTGGGTTGCAAGGAGTCGCAGCACAAGTCAGCGTAGTCTTGAAATAACTTTATTACAAAAACCCTTCGGTGAAGCAGACAAAGAGAGATAAACTTGCCCAGACTAGCTCGGACCTTGGATTAGAGACGCTGCTTCTCTGGATCAAGAGGAGCCAGTTGAGGTCCTTTGGGCATCTGGTGAGGATGTTCCCTGGGCCCCTCCTGCTGGAGTTGTACTGGGCATGGACTGGGAGTGTCTAGGAGGCCCTCAAGAGGATCTGGAGACAGTTGCTTGGGGAAGGAAAGTCCCTGCTCTGGTCAGCCTGTTACCACGGTGACCCTCACCAGGAATAAGCAGTTAGAAAATGGATGGAGAATGCCACATTTCAAAAACAAAGATATCCAAATATCATTCCTCATTCCTCAGGGGCCCTAGTCACCCTAAATAAAGACACTTCACTGCTACAGAGTCATACAACAGGCTTTCTAAATGTGAAAAAAACTAACCTCTACAGTATCAATATCAAATGGGGGAGCAGAGCTGAGTGTCCTTTCCTCATTTATAACTATTTTCAGTTCTCTGCTTGAAAGCACCTCTCTCCAGTCTCCCTCATCCTCCAGTGATGCTAAAACACTCTGTTGTCTTTGTATCACACAGGGTATTCACTTGAAATATAATATAGCAAATACAGTAAATGTGTTTTGTAGGAAGAAAATCTATGGGAAATTCTGTCATAAGTGTAGGGATTCTATCTAATAATTTGGAATCCATGATAGGTTTCAAAATGATCATATCTGTAGTGCCGATAAACAGGAAAATGTTTCATATATATTTATTTTAAATGTCATTATTCTCAAATGGCAGTATTACCAAGTTGCAGCACAAAGGCATTTGGTATAGAACTGTAGCAATACCTCTTAATGCAACCAGGGAATACTCCACAGAGAATGGCATTCAGATGGATTTCTAGGCACGTTCCACAGCACCTCCTATTTAAAATTCTGTTTATTTCTTTTTGTTTTCACAGCAGTAGAGATTGGTCTGCGGATGAGACTAGCTGTGAGATGGAATTACTATGGAAGCAGAGGTTAACAAAACTTTGAATGGACACTGTTCTGCTGTTGAAAGACAGCACTTACCTAATTACAGTGTAATAGTGACAAGCCATGTCAAAATATATCCAAAAGCTTTTCCCATTTCTTAGTTTGACATGTACTGGACTAGAGCATTTAATGATAAATCATTATGGTTAAGGGATGAGAATGGATATACTGTACATGGAATGTCTTGGGAACTGAAGTGCTACAGTACATTGTATTATTTCAAAATGAAATAGGGACTGGTTCAGGAACAGCAAAAACATTGGTCTTATTCTGTTAGAAAGATATTGTGACAAACCCCCTCCTGTTGACATTCAGAGCTTCAGCACCCTAAAACGCATACGGACAAAGCATCTTCATTCTGACAAAATCTCTTCCAGTACACACACAATAAGTACTCTTCAAATACCACCATGAAGCCTTTTATATCCCAAAGACTTGATTACTCCCAGGTGAGAATGTGCAATACCTACTCTTAACCAATTAACGAATTATTAAATAACTCACCTCAAGTGTGCCTGTCTGCAAGTATAAGAGGCCTAATCTGGCTTCTAGTGGTAGACTGGTTGAAACAGTCTCTTCTTGTCCTGGCCTGTCACAGGTGTCAATCAATAGCCTAATTGGGTAGGTTAATGTGGTGGAAAGAGGATCCAATTAGGACAGTAATAAAGTTTCCAAGCGGATGTGACTTTGTGTGGGTTATTAGGACTGTGTTTGGTTGATAATGGCAAAAAAATATAATAAATAAATAAAAAAAAACTGAGATCAATGGTTTTGCCTATTTGCTTAAAAAAAGAAAGCAGGTGAAAAATGAATTTAGGTCAGGCAAGCATTGTAGGCTTCTCCCTCTTCAGTGCTTTGGTACCAACTCTGTGGTGAGTAGCCACTTTGCTCCCAGGTGACTGCACTTCCCTGTCTTTGCTTGATCCTGAGAACAGGCAATTATAGCTCATTATGTCCTTCTGTTTGAATCACAGCTGGGATCAAGTGAAAAACACCTCTGAAAGAAGTAAAAACGACAGTCACTAAGCTAATAAGCCTTTATAAATAGCCTTCATAAAAGCATTGCCACAATTTGCATGTGCCGTATTGCTGCGTTTTTAGAGGTTTGGTGTGAAGGTAATACTTGGGTTTCATAAAAGGATGAAAGTAAATGGATGTGTTTAATGAATAACACAGAGAACATAAAATATTAAAATTAGGATGGAAAAATGAATCATCAATGTGCAAAACCTTCCTAAAGATGCAGGATTCAAATCTAGTCAGAAATGTGAAAGACTCTTGTTTCTGG